CTACTTGTGAAGTGAAGGATGAAAAATAAATGATATCAATTATTATTACAATTGCCACGCCTCCAAATCGATTACACTCACTCCATACAGAGTTACCCCTTGTTGAAGTTGGATTACCAAGCTAACTTCATTTAAGCTCATCCTTGTCAATTCTTCACTGAGCTACAACTAAACTTAACAAGTGACAAGCCCATTCTCACTGTTGCCTAGAAATCAATGGCCGCTTTAATCCATCGACGGACGAGGCGGATCTATGGGCTAATCAACCTCAAAATCTAAATTTCGTATCATCATCTTTCATCCTCACTTAATTAATTCTTTCCTCTCTTTCTCTAACCCATCTCTTCTTCTATCGCTCTCAATACCACCAACCTACCTCTACGCCAAGTTTAGTCAACATCTGACAAACCAGTGCCCCCCGTTATTTAATACCTCACCGGCCACAAATCTACCCAACGCGTTCAACCTCGAATTAACCCAAACAATACACACGTCCAGTGTCATTGTGGTGGTGCTTGTTTCCATTTATCTATCCATCCCATATCAAATTGATCAATCTTGTACCTCATTCGTCAAATTCATTCAAACCTTCTAGGCAACAACCTCACCTCCACACCTTAAACCTTAATCTTGACCCTCTTCTATCCCGACCTTTCGCGCTTCTCTCTTCCCTCTATCTTAGCACTGCCATCAAAAGATCTTTCATGAATCAGAGCTACGTCCGATCAAGGGAAAACAAACATCGCAATACTAAAGAGAAGTCGGAGCAGTCGACACGAACCTCATTGTCGTCTTTTCTGAGTTTGATTGGCTAGATTGTATTGAACCAACTTCGAGAAAGGCTCTCAGCCTCGAAAGTGTTATTGGTGCCGCCAAACTACATTACATCTCTCTACTTATTTGTACGCTTTGATTCATTCTTTCCCCGTACTCTGATCTGCTATCTACTCCATCCACTCTCTCACTTCCAGAGCTTGATTGAGCAATTATATTATTGGTCCGAAAGTCAATTCATATGGATTGATTAATCTCAGCCATACATCTATCTTCTTTCCCACACCGAAGCTACTCGCACCTATTGCATACATTTTATCTTCGTTCACACCACACTCACGCCCCGACACGGATCGATTCATTCTCATTTGTGACTCACATTTCTTGCATGGAATAAAAGTTCCCCAGGGCTAATCAATCTCACCCTAGTCTTCGAACAATTCGCAAGTTCACAAGACCTGACCACTCAGGATGTCGTTCACACATCCCCGAAGAACTACAAAGACCACATCTACTGCTGTGACTCTTCTTGCGAATACCTCAAGCCGGCCAACAGTTAATACAACTATGGCTTCCCTTCGCAAAGGTGCCACTTTCCACTCACCTTCTTCTCCCACAAACGAAGTCGATGGTGCTTTCAATCTCTCAGCTCTCGAACGTTCATTGTCCAATCTTGAAGATTTCGCCGTCGAATCACACAAGCGTCGTGCTGCCGATGTCATAGAATCTTTCGAGCTCACTGCTGCCGGCAATCAATCATCTTCGACTTCACGTCGTCGCTTCCGCGACGAGTCTGATCCCGTTCCTCGTGGTGTCGTCAACGTTGAGAACCCCTCCACCAAATCATACAATACCGAATTGATGGACGGAGTTATGCCATCAGAACAATCTTCCGTTCGACGATCAACACGTCCCCGTCGCACCACACCTAGATATGCAGACAGTGGTCTTGGATCATCCATCGGGTCATCATCATCAGGCAAGAAAGTATTCACCGATGACAATGTCTCCAAATCTACCAAGCCATCCACTATAACTAGATCGGCCGCTGCTCCATCTACAACTATCAAAAGCCTTCCTAGACTTAGTGCTCGCACTACCGCTCGCATTCAAGAGCATATCTTGAAGCCACTTCTAGCAAAGGAGTCTTTCAAAGACTTGCATCCCCTCCTCCAAGACTGTCCAAGACGAATTCATCAGAAGGAAATCGTATCTCTCCGCGACTTGGAGAAGACTTTAATTTTTACCGCACCTGTAAGTGAAATCCATAATGATGTTGCTTGGGAGTTTACTCACTGGTTCTCGCAATTGAAGAAGTACACAAAGAGCGCCTCCTTGTACCTCGACTTTTGTCTGGAATCGATCCACTGCATCCAAGCTACTGTCGAACTTGTCAATGAACGCGACCAAACGCGACCAAACGACCGCCCATATACTAACGGATACTTCGTCGATCTCGTCGAACAGATTAAGCAATACGCTGAACAGGTCCGAGAAGCTAAGGAGAAGGAAGAGAAAGGAGAAACCATTAGCGAGATGGATGCTCACCCGTATGTCTCACTGATTTCTTCATACTCACATGTGAAGTTTGAAAATTTGCTAATCCGTCGGCCATTTAGATCAGATGAGGTCAAGCTTCACGGTGGTCTGACCAGAAATGGTCGACCTGCTGAACTTGTCCGCATCAATAAGAAAACTGGCAAGGCCATTTCCATCGCCACTGGCCAACCAGTTGACATGGATGACGATGACAACAAGTCTATGAGATTCAAGCGTTCCTTGAGTGAAGAAGCTGAAGATGAAGAGTCAGTGATGAGATCGATGGCACGTCGTAAGAAGGATGCGTCTGCTGCTGAGCTCGCCCCTAAATTTTGTCGCGAGAAGGGATGTGACAAGTCATTCAAGCGTCCATGTGACTTGACCAAACATGAGAAAACCCATTCCCGCCCTTGGAAATGTCCCGTCACTTCATGCAAATACCACGAATATGGTTGGCCAACCGAGAAAGAGATGGATCGTCATCAAAATGACAAACATTCAGCTGCGCCTCCACTATTCGAGTGTCACTTTAAGCCTTGTCCATACCGATCAAAACGTGAATCGAATTGCAAGCAACACATGGAGAAAGCCCACGGCTGGGAGTACGTCAGATCGAAGAACAACGGAAAGAACAGACCTGCTGCACCCGCTGTCATTCCTAATGGTCTTCCAACTCCTCAAAATACTATCATTCATACTCCAGGCAGCGATTCTAACCTTGAATCTCCCATCATTGCTGATGATGAGATGCTCTATGAGAACACCTCATTATACACCACCAACCACAGCATGGACTTCTTTGGCCCAGCATACCCTGCTGAAATGAACTTGTTCCAACCCCCACAATCATTGAACATGGAATATTCTCCTATCACGGATAACTCCTTCTCTCCTGATGGACAATCGCCATTTGATGCAAATTCTCCTTTCAATTCCACATCTGTTCTTGGTGCTCAGGATCAATTCCAAGAGACTCTGCAAGCTTACCCACCAAACGATGAATGGGCAGCTTATGAGCAAACGGATCTGTACAGCGCCCCGGCTCAAATTCAGATTCCATCCAATCATCAGATCTACCAAGATCTCATGGGTCAAAATGCTATGGCATTCGAGACATCGGGTGTCACATATCAAACTCAACATCAACAACACCAACCCCAACAACATCCACAATCCATGGCACAAATCTCACCTATCGGTGAAGGTAACACTATGCTTTACACACCCAAATCTATGCAAGACTTTGATGAGGGATTTGAGGACTTTGTTCCAAACAATACTCGCATGACTACCAATGGTGTTCAAGATTTTCAACTCTTTTCTGCACCTCAACAAAGACAAAATAGCAACCCTGCTCCCCTCTTTGGTGAAATCATTCCTCAAGCACCCCTTGGATTCCCTGGAATTCATCCCGAGGATTTGATTGCATTCTATGCTCAAACTGCTGCAAATTCCGCTGCTGGCACGGGCAACCACTTACCACAAAACCACTACCAAAGTCATCAACAATCTCAACCTCAACATCAACAATTGCATCAAAACATGAACATGACGATGGATTGGTCTTCTGATGATTATGGTTACAACAGTCATTGATTCTCACGTGTAAGAAGTGGATAGAGAATGACAACCCCATCTCATAACCTTTTAATTTCCTGGCATTAGCATAGTTGCATTTTTTTATCGTTGGCGCTTGTTAGCACTTTTTCAAATAAGTCTTACGAAAGTTTTCAGACTTGCTGTTCTCTTTTTTCCTCGACAACTTTTTCCTTTCTTGACGAATTGATGAGTCGTAGTTAATGTGTGGGGGTTTCCAAGATGGAGAGGTTGGCTTCGGTCGGATTGCGTGGTCGAAGTGGAATATGATGGATGGATGGGATTTCTTAGATCTCGACGGGTGGTCGACCGTTGCGCCGGGACGGGACTGACCGGGGATATTGTTATCATGATTTTTTTTTTCTAGGAGACAGCAGATGGAAACAGATCTCGCGTTTTACAGTAGCTGATTTGGATGGTTGGTATGGATGGATCTTGAGATTATTTTCATTTGATTTGGCTGGATGGGAGTCGAATTGAATTGAACTGGGGTTTCTACTTAAAGTTCTATCTGAATTGAATGGGTATTGATTGATTGGGAGGAAATGGGTATTGAAATCAGAGAATGGTTGGATGGCGAATAGTGAAGGGAAGGGGAATAGGAGAGGCAAGTCGATGGATTGATTGCAAGGCAAATAGTATTGGAAGAGATTCTAAAGAGGAAAGATACGTAAGATACATGATGAGACAGAAATACTTTTGATAGAAATAAGATTATTATCATATTCATTTATATGACTGATTGAGTTTAGATTGAGTGATTGTTTTGTTACTTGTATATGCGTGTTGTGAATGTCATGACTGGGTAGATGAAGTGAAATGTTTGCGGAATTCGTATATAGTATGTATATCACCCGGCGTCTCCCAAAGGTATCAAGATACTATTATTATTGCGATGTAATATCATGGCACGATTTCTGTTTGCGTGCGTCACTCGTTTTCTTTCAGTTGTTTTATATTGTCGTCTCAGAGAGGTTGCATACGAGGCTGTTGACTATTTCTTTGTGTATTGTTGGATTTGTGATTGGGTTTTCTTTGATGGCAAGGCGCCGGCGTCTAATTAGATGGACATGGGTATGACGGTGGCTTATGCTGCGATCCTCCGGTTCTGGCGGTTTACGTGTCTACTTCTTAAATGTGTGTAGGTGGGGATGTTGAGCTGGGAGTAGTAAGTAGTACATAGATGGCGAATACCGTTGAGTATTGTTTTTGTTTGTTTTTGAGCTCTTTTGAGGGTATGTTGGACTTGGAGAAGGCCCACATAAAATTCTTTCGAAATATTCATCAATGGTTATCCTTCATTTCATCTGAACTCTCATGCTTTCAAAACATAGCTACTCATATTATCCATGAATTTAATTATCCAAATCATCCCAGACCCTTCTCTGAATCTCCGTCGTTGCCCCAACATACACTTCCGAAGGACTATTTCTTGCCAATGCCCAAAAAGCATCTAAGCTCACACATTTCAAGTGCTCAACCAACGGATACAATTCCGTCCACACCAATTGATCTACGATTTTGAACGCACCATTATATCCGTCTGACGAATTCGAAGCCGGATCAAAGTCCGCCGAGACAACATTGAGAAAACCTCGATTGCGACTTCCTGGCGTAGAACCAAATGATGCGAAAGATGCAGAATCGATAACGAGGAAAGTGGTTGTGGATAAATCAGCTGGGATATTTTGCGACGCGATCATGTTTTTGAAGTGTCTGAAAGGGTGTTGGTTAGTTTTCGTCAAGTGTAAGGGAAAGCCATCATACTCTCTAGCATCTGCAAAATCGTCTTCGAAAATACTTTCATCGAGACCCTCGATCCAATGTACAGTCGCTTTTTGCTTCACATGTTCGACGCCTATCATGCCTTCCCATCCACTGTCTAATCCCGATTCTAATCGAGCGAGAAAGGTTTTCCATTCTTCTTCGTTTTATCCCTTACTCATTTTGTAGATGACATATCCAAAGTTTTCAACGCTATTGAATTTTCTTACCCACTCTTCCTCTTCTACTCTCGCAGGATTCAAGATCTGTGGTTGTGCGGCTTGGTGCGCGTCTGCTCTATCTGAGATGTTCCATATGGTTTGCAGAGCTTCATGATTTTGTCCAAAGGAAGAATGTTCATCATTTGCGATTCTCATCTCAGCGGCCTCTTTGATTTTTCGTTGATAGTCTATCTGAAAGTCCTCTCTTCTAGCATTTTGGATACTCTCATATATTGCATTATTTCTTTCCCACGAGCTTTCATCGTCACTGAGTAACCCAGTCACATTCCCTGGTTCATGTCGATATACGAATCCGACAGTATGCGGTACAACATAGAACTCGGTTTCGATGTAGAGATCGAGTATACTGTTTAGAACACGAAAGTGATGCTGAGAAATGAGGGGAGTTCCGGCTTCACCAAAAACAGAGCTCGGTTGACTAAAGAATGCCGAACGAGTTGCGTTATAAAGAGGGAGTAAGTTTGTGAATATAAAGCTGCGGGATTGGAAAGCCATATTTTCGAAGAGATAGGAATGGATGTACTCCTGCCACAGAGCCGGTAAATTATAAGCCGGTTTAGATCTCCCATTTGAAACTTCCAGCGCGTTTAATACATCTTGGAGAATGTCAAATTCGAACCATATATGGTTATAGATATCTCGTAATCGGCCTTGTACACGAGGAGTATGGAGATATTCGAATACGTCTACGATGAGCTGTATTTGAGAGAGGGCTACTTCGATATTCTCTGATTTGGAGAGGCCCATGGACTCCCACCGGGCAGGAGGAATTGGTGACATACCATGCCAAATCTAGAGAAAATTAGTTTAATGTGGTTGTTTAGGATGTTCAGCTAGAGAACTATATTGAAACGGAGGTGACTACTCTTTTCTTCATCATGTCCATATTCCGTTCAATACTCAGTGAATCTAGTGCCGCACGCAAAATATCACTCATCCCAGATGCAGCCATCATGATTCTAGCCAAAGGCGCAGTGGAGAGAGTTGCAGATACACTATCCGAGCCAAGTTGAGTTTTAAACGGTTCTGGCGCCCATTCAACATAGCTCGTCGACAAATATTTCACCATCTCTTCGGGCATGAGAGGTAATTCAGTTTTTCGATTTCCAGGCATGATACCAGACTTGGCAGCGGCAAGGAAATCCGTGACCGTATGAATCTCAAACGGCGAGATAACTGCAACATGACCTGGTGGAGTTGGAGACAGCGAAGGAAGAGCTAGATACATGGATAAAACGACTGCGAGGATCATTGTTAGGAAAACCTTAGAGCAACATCCGCGGGTACACCATCCTTTTCTTGTTCTTATTTGAGGTGCTCCGGCTGCGAGCAACGGCTCCAGAGGTGCGGGAGACATGTTGTGAGCTGGAGTTTTATGCAGAAAAGTTTATTGAATGCTATCTTCTCAGATTTCGGGATGAAATATCCCAACGTGATATTTACATATTGACACGTGACTAATTCGCTGCCATCACATTGAAATCTACAAGCACACTTAGACCAGTTGACATGGAGCTTGCAGAACGTGCTTCTCTGAGATGGATACCTTAGTTCCTATTAGTGAGGATGAACAACACCCAACATCCATATCTGACGGACAATCCCACCCCGCAACTTGAGGATGGAGAATTATGCCATGTCTCACCGCTGTTACACGACCATTTTTGAGCAAACCTAGGTACTCAGAGGAGCTCTACAAGACACTTTGATAATCCAATGATTAATGTTCAACTTCTATTCGAAGATATATCTTTGAATATCTATCTAGGTGCTGACTTAATTGAATAACCCCCGAAATCTTGAATCAAGTTATTTCATTCATTCTTAATTAATTATTTATGTTGAGGTAGGTATTCGAATTCGGTCTGTTTTTTCTCCTCCGAAGAGCGAGCTGAGCTGAAACCTCAAGCTCCCGCAATGCGGGAGTGCGTTTGCTGGGCCCGGGAGCTGTCGATCTCCTAGACCAAACCTTAAGTATATTGGAACTTAAATATCACTTCATCACTCCTTCCCCACGTCATCCAGACACATTGAGTTGATCGTAAAGATTTATACAAATATCAACTATCCATCACTTTCTTCAATTCATCAAACAAACTCTCACTTACCGACTAAACATCATCAGACCAGCAGTTCTCAAGACCCCACAATGCGCGGTCGTGTCCTCCTCAGCCTCTCTGCTTTCGGCCAAGGCGTTACCCCCTTTATCGCAGATTGGAACCACACTCACATTTACAATCCCCGCTGGCCTCCTCATGCCAAATTCCACAATGGACAAACCATGTCATTAGGCGCCCTACTCGGTCTCGTTACTCTCTACTACACCTGGCGCTTTCCACGGATCCCCACACCGAAGTCCAAATCGAAGGTCGAGAAGAAACAGACTCCAGAATCAACAGAGTCAGTGTGGGTGCGAAAGATGACTCGGGATAGTATGATCACGGCTGCGATTGCAGGGAGTTTGTATTGGATCGCGGGACTGTCTGCGATTTTATATCCGGGGAGTAAGGCGATGGATCCAGAGTTTGGGGATTGGGCTCCGCAGATGATCATCTTTCCGTTTTTTATGGGGATGGCTATTTTGGGAGCTTGGTTTGAAGTCAAGGATTTGGATAAGGCGTAAGGGTATGGAGGTTATGCTAGGGAGGAGTGATCAAGGGGTGAAAGAGAAGGAACCTCTTGAGACGGAGGAGAATGAGGCCAACATCTCTGGAGTAGGAGTTAAATGTTCTAAGCTGGTTCGAATATCGGGATGGGGGGAGCCATGAAAACCTCAAGTGGGTTAGGATTTCGGGATTTTGGGCAGGGGAAAAAGCACAATCAACGATTTTCATGAGATATTAGCTACGAGGGAAAGCACGATGGAAACGATGGGATGATTTGATGTATGTCAAATTGAATGATCTAATATTATCCAGGATATGGGTTCCCAAATCATGGAATTGCTGGTAAAACAACTTCTCCCTCTTTTGGCTGCACATCCAACTTACCATCTTCACGCCATGGTGCCTGATGTTTCTCTGCAAACTGCCTTATATCATCAAAATTCTTGCATTTGTGATCACGGTTGAAGTCCGGATATAAGTGAACACGATCTCCAGACTTTGCCCACAAAAATGGGTGTGCTCCTGTATCGGCTGAACACATGAGACTTTGGCGGACGGTGTCTAGACAGTGGTCTAATTTGGTTGTTAGCAACTGAGTCCACAAAATAGTGCTAATATACATACTTATATGTGCTTTCAAGATATATTCTTCATTCTTGAAAGGTCCTTCTCCGAGATTGTGGTAATACTCAGAGTTGTAATAGAGGCCTTGTCGAAGAAGATTCTATGTGTCATTAGCCTTCATTTATGATCTCTAACTTTGCAAGCAAGTGCTATCTAGAATTGGAAGTCTTACCAGACAATGCAATTGATGCATCACCTCTACTATAGCGGGATAACCAGGACCTCCATCTTTCTCATCTACTCGGAAATGATCAAGTGATATTCCGGCTTTGGGAGCATCCTCAGGTGGGATGATTATTGCTTTATCTATTCATGTGTGTGAGCATGAAAATTTATCTTGCTTGAGATAGAGACGGACAACATACATTTCGTTCCAAGATTATGCCATGCTTCATCAACTTCCGGACTAGCATCTTCTCTGTATATAGTGTTGGTAAATAGTGAACCGTTGAATCGAACAGTTTCGTATTCAATGTCAATGTTATCGAGTATAGGACCTGTGAGAGTCAGTCCATTTGTTATGTTTTCAGATAAAAAGTTTTGGCAACTTACTCCAAGTTTGACTTGTGTGCTTAGCACATACTTGGTCTAGATTTCTGAGGGGTTGATGTGTGGTGAGGTATGTTGCGGTGTTTGTAAATAGCGTAACGACAACTATACATGATATCCAGAAACAAGTCTGTTTTTTCGAGCCTTTCGTAGTTCTAGGATTGTCTAGTGACAAATTATGAGATTTCTCAGTCGCCGTGTATTCATTTTCCAAATCAGTGAGAAATGGTACACTTGACTCATCCGAATGTCCCATGTTTACCTCGATTGAACTCAAACTTTGAAGGGTAATTTTGAATGTCAGTAGTACCACTGCTCTGTCTTGTTAAACAGGAAAGTCGATGGTTTCACAAACAGCCATCTGGAGCACCGAACACCGAAAGCCCCTCACCAACCCCCACCCCTCCGCCCCTCCAACGATTCCAAGAAATATCACTATCGACCTTCCAGTTCTAGCATGACAAGCCCATCTTTAGCGACCAGGTCCCCGAACGCCCCATCGTAAGCACTAAATGATCTGATCTCCCAGGACTTCCAGAATGTCGCTCTTGATAAGAACACGAACGATCGACATCTTCACATTCTGTACCAATAGGTTCCGAAGAAAGCAAGATACGTTGATTTACACGCACAAGCTTTTCGTGGCTGAGGATCGTGCATGCATATTGTGGGTTGAAGGATCGCCAAGGCTGATACCTCCTTCTCCTTTTAGTTAAGACGGAAGCGAGCCCCGCATGACACCTCAACTCGTGGTATTTGCGCACTTAATGTGGGGCGAATTGTTGATGCTAACGGCTCCTCGGGTGTATACAAGTTTTACGATAGGTAAATGCGTGGGATATACGAAAGCGATATCTCGTCATTGAAGATTTTCTGCAAGGCGATAAATCATGGGTGTGGTGACAGGGTTACGGGATAACATGGCAATGGATAAGCGTGCAAGGTTGTTCAGTTACATTGTATTCTTCATTTAGACATAATTTCATCAAAGCCGATGCTCAAAACCCCGCCTTCCATGGCGAAAACACACCCCTGGTTTCTTTTCTCGGAATCAAGAATTTTCTATTGTACAGCGTAAAACCAGTTGGTGGCAGCCTCTTCTGGTACGGCATCCTTCTTCTGAACGGCGTAAAAAATGTTGGAAGCTTCTTCTGGCACAGCATCCCGCTTTTGTACAGCATAAAACCAGTTGGTTGCAGCTTCTTCTGGTTCAGCATCTTTCTTCTGAACAGCATAGAAAATGTTGGAGGCTTCTTCTGGCACGGCATCTCGTTTCTGAACGGCATAAAAGAAATTTGTAGCTTCTTCTGGCGCAGCATCCTTTTTCTGAACAGCGTAGAAAATGTTGGAGGCTTCTTCGGGCACAGCATCCTTCTTCTGAACAGCATAGAAATAGTTGGTAGCTTCTTCTGCTGGTGCAGCATCCCGTTTTGCCTCTACTGTGGATTCGCTGCTGTGTGCTTCTCTTGTATCTGTCATTGATGTTAGCATGAACTATCTATCAAAATATTTAAAGTAAAGTACATACCAACTGGAGTAGGGAGAGAAATTGCTACGCCGAGCAAGCTCAAAGCTGTCAATGCATATGTGACCTTCATGATGACGGGATGTTATGGAGCTTTTTGAGTGAAAGACGAAAGTGAGAGTGATCTTAATGAAAGGCTTTAATTCCCATATTCCAGGAGCATTGGAAACTATATATAACACGATTCTCAACACAATATTACATAATGATATCTGAAGTATTTTGACCTCCTTCCTAATCCGTGGAAGTGGGATATTTTCTAGGGTGCAGTTGCAGGTGCATATTCGAAGGATTCATTTCCTAGATACAGTTTGTCAACTTAAAGCTTGTGCATCATGTAGGGGAAAGTTTTCTGCGCCAATAGTTATCAGTGAATATGTCCGCACGAACCCCCCAATGAAGTTTGAGAGTCTAACATTGGCTGCATTATCTTTACATTTTGTTGGCCATCACTATCTTTCTGTAGCAGTTGACGTCAGATTACCAAGACCATTTCGGGAAAGACGGAGAAATTGTTTTCTGCTGTTCACACAACTTTGTCTCTTCCTTTTTTTTACCTCGAGAATCTTTAACATAGTAGTTCTTCTGATCGTGGAAACGTCGGAGGAGAAAACAATGACTATGGACTCTAAACGTGTGCGATATGATCAGCTCCCACTTGAAGAAGGTTCCAGCCCGCCAGAGACAAGAAAGCCCACCTCAACTACCAGAAGATTAATCCAAGGTCTCCTGTGTACAACTATCCTAGCCTCAATCATCATCGGCACCATCTGGATATGGACTCACCAACACCCCAATCTACCACAATACATCGACTGCGGCACCACAGTCGAAGAAGCGCTCTCCAAAAACTGCGTTATGGAACCCATGATCTACGGCTGGATACCACGAGAATGTTACTTCCCCGATCTCAGTTCCCAATATTCTCCTTTTGAAGACCGGGAATGGTATACCGATGACAATTATACTGTGCAAATCCCGCCTGCAGATTTATGGGCGGGAAAAAATAAACATGTTTTTACGCACAAGTATCATTCGACGCATTGTTTTTTTCTGTGGAGGAAATTGGCACTGGGGATTGCGAGGAGAGCGCATTATTTGGATGATAAGACCTTGGATTTGGAACATTCGGATCATTGTTCGGAGGTCTTGGATCATTATGGGGGGGAGACGAATAGGTCGACGAATGATGTTGTGATGGGTTTTCATAGGTGCGAGAGGTTGGCTTGGGTGTAGGATTGGTGTGAAGAGAGAATTAGGGGGTAAAAGGAGGTCTTGGAATGTTAATGTAGGATCAAAATTTGTGGCTATGGATTGATTGGATTATTTACATCTGCATTGATATCAGAGTGAATGAAAAATAGTTATTTATTCCTTTGGCAATGAAATTAAAGTCCTCCAAAGATAGTGGGCTCATGATTAAAAAACATTTTCGTTTCATTATGTTGTGGTGCACTTACAATTCATCACAAGGGACAGAAGAAAGACAAGTGAAAGACTGGTATATTACGTGCATATATGGTATTTGCGTGCTTAATTAGCTCTGAGATTATCTAACTGTTGCACCTAATCAAAACCGATTCAGTAATATCATTGGGGAGATATCACCGTCATTTTTAGCTTTTCTGAACAACTGACGCCGAACTAGCTTCTCTCAACTCTTCCAGATCCGGAAAATATCCCGATCTAACCAACAATCCCAAATCCCCTTTATCCTCCACCTCACCCCACGCCTCCAAAAAGTCCTCCGGAATATATTTCCTAATCAACTCCGCCATATTATCTCCCCTCGCAGAACTAACATACGCCCCAATGTTCCAGACTAGAGATGCATTCCAGGAGGATAATACCCCGCAAATTCACAATCGATGAGAGCTTTAGGTTGAAGAGTTTCCGTATCTATAAGAAGATTATACGCCGCTAAATCTCCATACTAGAATACGTTACTCGAGAGTTGCGAGCGGCAGAGTTTTCCACGGTGCGTTTTTTTCCCTTTCTATGGCTCTTCCGAATCGAGGGGTAACCAGGCGGGAGGCATTACGAATCCGTTAATTCCTCTCGTGTAGGATTTCATGGTTGATAGCTGGGGTGATACGGTATTTTCGACCAAGTTTATGGCATTCGAATAGGCGGTACGTACACAGGTAGCACAAGATGCTTCTTCGGTGTATATTTTACCGCTTGTGACTCGACAGCCTAATGCATGGAGTTTGTTAAGAGTAACACCGCTAATGAGTTCTGTCACAAGATATCGTGTACCGTCTGCATTAATACCATAATTGAGAAGACGCGGAATGGGACTTGTGGTTTTCTGTGAAACGAGTTTCAAAGCGTTGACTTCGTTGGTGATGCGATCGTGGTTGAATTATCTCTTGCACTCGATTAGATGATCTTCCAAGTCCATATAGACCCATGGAAGCCGTGATGTTTTTCTAACATTGTGGGTGTGAAATCATACCGAACATTCCAGGCTTTTAGGCGGCGAACGACATCTGCTACGTTGAAAGTTGGGGGTTTTGGGGTTTGTGAGTGTGGCTTGATTTGAGGTGTCGATTTCATGCTATCACTTGGATTGCCCATTTTTGCTAATGTAAGTTGAATTCGATTTCTTGATCAACAATGCTACTATATTTTAGTGGATTAGAGTATGTAAGGATCGGAGATCATATATGAAGGAAACCAGCTAGAAGAATAGGTATGTACTCAGAAAGGGGTGTCAATACGGCAGCGCGATGATCACCACGAGCTGTATCAAACACTGCCCAGCACATCTCAACACACGATGAACTGTACAAGAGAAGGCTCGAAATTCGCAAGACACCTGGATATATTTGGTCATCTTCTGTTATGTTTTGATACGACGGAAAGTTTTGATCAAACTTTCGGGGCCAAGCAGCTGGAAGTCCTCGTAACCACATTTTTGCTACTCATCGGTTCCACCAATGTGTGTACGGTGAAATTGCGTTGGTTACCTAGTCAAGAAAGGGTGGCAGGTATTCTGCGAACATGTATATGGCAGACTTAGATCGACTAAATCTTTTGTAACAATGCAAACCGTCTATGTCAACCTAAACGTCCACATCATTGCAAAAGCCCAAATTTTCTCGAACAGAACCCTAAGTCTAGTCAACATGTACACTTGCATTGACAAACATGATAATTCGGCAACCCCATGTTATTTCTCTTGCCTAAATTGACGATTTCATGCCACTTCACAGGCTGGATTCAAAGCAACAACAGACGCTCTCGCGATCAAATTAAATTAAAACTGCAATCAATGCATTTTCTTCGTTCCTGTAATGTAGCCCCAAAATCCCAAAAGCAGACGGTATCAACACTCCAAACACCTCATTCGTGAACACATCAAGACCAAATATCCAGCAATAACTAACAAACACTTTATCTAACCCACATGCAAAAAGTCCTCGCTTCTTCCATCCTTCTTTTCATCAAATCTCAAAACCATTACATACCCAAGAGACCAACGATTACCACCGCCCCCCCCAAACGTGACCCACCCCACAGTCGTAACATCCGCCGCACTCGAGCCCGTAGCCGACGCCGACGCCGCAGTACCCGTCGCACTACTCGCTCCCGTGGAGCTACTTGTCCCAGAACCCGATTCTGCTTTCAATGGAGCGAGTGTGCCTCCCACAATACCTTTCAGGTTTGTAGTGGCATCACTATCGAGTGCTTTTGCTGCGAGTGAGAACTTTGCTAGGGTTTTTTTGTTATCGGTTCTGGGATTCGTTAGTGTGGGATATTGTATAGTTGGTATCTAGATGGAGAAGAAGGGTTAGGAAAGAGGAAAGAAATACATACGCATTGACATTAACAGCTCCTACCATCCCGCTCTCACAATGTCCAGGGTATCCACAGTAGAACCAAATCGGCTTCGTGTCATTGACAAGCACACTAAAGACGGAGGCATTGGCTTCGGTGCCAGTGGTAGTGATTGGACCAGAGAAGAAACCTGAGCCCTGACAGGGCGATGCAAATGCTGCTTGGGCAACCGAATGCGTTTTGGCATAGAAATGGAACTCGAGAGTTGTGTTTACGTCGGCTTTGGTTTCGTTAGGGGAAAAGGTAAGTTGGCCGCCGGCGCCAACGAGAATAGTGTGGGTTGGGTCAGAAGGAGAAGTGCTTGTGGTGCTTGATGGAGTCACCACATTGGATGCAGAACTGGCACCTGCAGCTCCGTATGCAGCGAAGGTGAAGGGGAGAGCTCCGAGGAGAAAAGTGATCTTGCTGAATTGCATGGTGAATTATTGATAAATATTCGTGATATGGAAACAAAAGATTGTGTATTGATTGTATGATCGAAAGATGATAAAGAAAAGGAAAAAAAATCAACTTTTGGGTTTGGATTTGATAGAAAGCAGGTCAAGATTGAAATGGGGAATGCGATTTAAACAACAGTAGCTATCGGTTTATATAACAATCATACAACGCCTCTTCCTTTGGAATTTGTGAGAGACAGATTAAAGAAAGACGGTTCGCCATCCCATCATGGTATCATGGTATCCCAAGATTAGCATTCAATGGACATCCGAAACTGATACGCCAACTTATAGCCGCTCCATTTTAGTCCTGAAAGTACGACCCAAGTTTCGGCTCCTTATCACCAATCGAATTCGGAATTTATTCAGCTTGCATATGTACCCCTGATAAAACAGAAAAAAGCGACACCCCCAGCCCTAGGGTTGACACAACGTCATCTGATAAGGTCGGTTACTTTCATCTGAACCAATCATCCAATCAGATCAGAAGTCTTAATGTAACCTAGTTCTAAGTAATGTTTGAACCCCTGCATGGAGATCTATCCTGATCCCCTGCGCCAATTTCAAACGAATATGGTTCAAGGTGCTCAATTATAATGAGAGTCTGACAGGAGCAAGTCACTGCCGAGAGAAGTCTGTGAGACCAAAATGTGGATGTGTGTAGGTGGCGCGGATATTGAAAAGTGATCTGAGGAAGGCGCAGTAAGTTGTGCCAGTTCGATGTTGATTTTGATTTGTGCAGTACCTCCATGCGATAAAATGCCCTAAACGATGAAATTTTGAGCGCGGAAAAAAATTCGATGGGTTGTTTAAATTTATGTGTTTTATTGTAGGTAAGGGTATGCCTTCGAAGACTTCACCAGGCCTTTGCAATCATATGTCACGTCGATATCGATATGATCTGTGTTGCCATCCCGTTTTGTGGCCGAAGTTTTTTGCAACCCGTGGATATTTTGTTTCCCAGGCGTAAGTTGTTCGGCGGTTATACAGAAATTGACTTGGTGTGGTGATAGAAATTTTTGATACTCCAAAATTACTCAACTTGTTTGATAATGTATCAAATCCTCCATAAGACAGTTTTGAATTCACGGTCGAGATTAAATGTGAAACATGGTTGAGTAACCATTCGATAAGCACCGAACATGTGTCGCCATGCTGTCAATCTTGCATCTTAATTGTTTCAGGATCCATAAGGTTGGATGCTTTCATCCCATGTTAAAGAGGAAGTCATCGAAGCAGTGTACGGGCGATCCTATTCTTGTCCTGTGTCTGTAATATTTCAAGCGGAACATCCAGTACATGATTCCAGTTGGGGCCCAGCATGTCAGCGATTGCGCGAATATCACGATCTGCTAAACCCTCGAGCCACCAAAGTCCAGAAACGAGTTTGATAAAGGACATGTAATACGCGCAAATAACCAGTGCTCTAGGCCGTTTTCTCTTTACTAAAGATGTGAATTCGTTGGGAGTGAAAGATGGCCACGAGATTATACGAATGAACAAAGGCTCGCTAAGTTCATCTTGACGAAGACTTGCATAAAGGTTGCCTAAAGCATCCAAAGTTCCGCAATACACCTGCAAGTCCTCATAATCTTGATCTTCAGGATCCATACGTAGCATATGTAATAGGGCAGATGGGACCACCGGAGTAGCGAGTAGATCATTAAAATTCCGGACGAAGAGTGGGCCAACAGAAGTAGTGTTGGTTACACCTCCATCTGAGGTTTTCATCGAAACGATGATACGCAATCCGCTATATAAACCCATCCAGCTTGCTACCGTAAGCTCATCGTTATCACCCCGGTCTCCCGAGGCAAGCACTACAAGGAGTAATGCCATTACGAGGACTGCTTCGTAATTCTTCGAATCCTTGGTAACGGTCTCCAATGCAGCGCGATAATCACGAAATGCCTTTCCACGGTAAAGAGCCGTTTGCTGTTTATGCTCTTCGTTTTGTGGAAGCAGATGCTGATTGTGAAGAGATGCCAACCCCAACATCCCATTCAATAAGAATGGATTCTCAAAGGCAAGAGATGGAACAGTCACTTTCATTACATGACATGCTGCAGGTCCGAGAGCCACGATTGGTCCTGTATATGTAGAGTAATGATGCACCATACGTAGATCCATCACGGAAAGTACTCCAGTGGCTGTACGCAATGGCGGGAATGGTGCACTTCTGGGGTCCCAGGAGAAGTCGACTGATTGAACAGGCCAATCATGAGTACTAGATTTTACCAAAGAGGTAGTTTGGTTGTGTTCCTTTGGACTAGTAGTATCATTCACCTTGGCGACCTTTTGTATGTATTGACAAGAAAGCTTTCTGATTTCACAAAACGAGCATGTTGGTTTAGCTTCATCACACTTAGTTGATAATCAGTGAGCATAAACCGTAAATGGGGTAAATATTGTGTATACCTTGATCTTTTTTGTCTTGCAGGTTTGACATCCTGCCCTCGACTTCTTATGTGGTCTTTTTGTTGTAAAAACACTGGCCATCGTGATTGTTTACTCACAGAGTTCTACAAAACTTGAAGCGTCAGGAAGTAGATGCTTAGTTCGAGAATATTGACATCTAGCTAATGGATACTTGTTCGAGTGCGACACACAAAGGTTGAAACATAGTAATAGTAATAAACAAGGTCGCATTCACTTGATAGCAAGTAGATAGATAATGAGGAATCCGCTATAGCGATAGCGATTTGTAATAAAGTATAAAGTAGGTGGTTGTTGCTCAACAACAAGGGGAACTCGTAGGCTAGTCGAATTCTGATATGATAATAGACAGTTAACTTGGCCACTGTGTTAGATTAGACCTTTGTCAACTTTCCGTGGAGGCAGCCACTACACCTGTCGTTCTGTAGAAGTTTTCCTCGAAACACGTGCAAATTTGTGAGCACTGGGTATTGATTCAAGAAACAGTGAATTCATACAACATAAAAACATCGAAAGTCTTGGATGGATTGGAAAAGTAGGGAAAAAGGGAAAAATGTGGAATAAAAGGCTTAGAAGAAGTTTATCATCACATTCTGGAGCCCCCAGACTCTTCAGGAAATGGCACTGGGCAGAATGGACGGGTAAAGGTCGGTAATATGTAAGCTCCCGTCTTATTAGCCCACCATAGAGCGAGGGAGCGAGGGAGCTACAGCCTTGCAAGAGGTGCTAGCCGCTAGCCGATCCACTCACGTGGTGTTGACGCGCCTTGGAAGTTGGTATCCATGTCCTTTACTTGTTAAGTACCTTGTGCTAAGTACTTTCATTTCAGCCTTGCAATAATTCTCTAGATTATTGTCTGCAAGAAGCAAGATAATAATAAAATGGTTGCTCTATTTGCTTTACCAAATGAATTGGTCCTTTCTTCATTAGCATCTCAATTTTCATGCAGAGAACAGCAGATTCGCTCTCTAACCACTTTACTTTCTGTACGTCTATCCTTCCTTTACTTTAGAATTGTATATCTGAATGTAAACTTACCTCTTTCTTCAGATCCAAGCTGCTCCAAGCAGAAACATTGTACTTCATGGGCTTGAAGCAACAGGCAAATCCACAATAACGAAAGCTGTCCTTGAAGCATTATCAACCCATTCCCCAGCAAACAACAGCGCTCCCGAAGAGCAATTCAACAATGAATTACGTTATGCCATAATTACAAGCGCAGAATGTATATCTGGAAGGCATCTGCTGGAACAAACTATAGGAGCTGTCGCGAATGCGGTAGAATGGAAGGAGAATATACCGAGATGTGAGAATCTCGCACAATTAGTGGTAGAGGTAGGAAAATTGCTCGAAGGTTGGACCGCGACAAATGAGGCACAAGCTGCAAAACAAAGATTCGTTCTTGTTTTTGATGGCATTGATCGACAGAGAGAAGCTCCTCCTACTATGCTGCCAGCATTGACCCGAATGGGTGAGATCGTACGTTTGGTCCCAACCTCAATCAGTGCAGTCTATCTTCTAACAACTATAGATTCCTAATCTTACTACAATTTTCATCACTACAATTCCTCGACCTAGCTTCTTCCACCTCCCTGGAATTCCTCATATTCAATTCCCGTCATACACTAAATCAGAGCTTGTGACGATTCTCTCGCGAACTTGCAAACCCTCCCCTAGACTCCCCGGCGGTTCCAAAGAAACGTTGTCCATTTGGGAACGATTCCTTCCCACAACTTACGACTCCCTGTCTAAATACTCAGGACGTGACCTTGTTTCGTTCCGCGAGATCTGCCTTCAATTATGGCCTACCTTTATCCAACCAATACTTAATGGGACATACACGTCAAACGAATTCTCTCGCCTTCTCATCGCGAATCGTGCGCTTCTCCAGAATGACACACTTCTCACACCATCTGTCCTTGCTCCTATTACGTCTATTTTCGTTGCAAAAAACGCAACTTCTAGCACAAGCACCGCTCAGCTTCAAGCCCAAAACAACATCACAACTCATCTCCCGTATCACACTCGTCTTCTTCTCATCGCCTCCTATCTTGCTTCTCACAACCCCCCTCGCACAGATCAGCATCATTTCCTCCAGCAAACTGCAACTAAGCGTAAAAAGCGCGGTGGTGGTACTGCTCTCACCGCTTCCACCTCTCGGCCCGGCGTCTCTAAATCAAGCAAGATTCCTCGCAAACTACTTGGGCCCCAGGCATTTCTGCTGGAAAGGATGATCGCTATCTACCATGTATTACTCGAAGATGCCGATGGTCGAGGACGCTATTCAGTTACAAATGGAAATTCAAAGAGGAAAACGAGAGGGCTAGGCGCTGGAGAAGCGGACATACAAATGGCTGTTGCGACACTAGCTAGCTTGCGCTTGATCGCTAAAATGGGGAGTGCGAATGCGGCAGATACTTTAGATGGAGGAAGTAGATGGAGAGTGGCAGTGGGATGGGAGGTGGTCAGGGGGGTTGCCAGGAGTGTAGGAGTTGAACCCGAGGACTATCTGGCGGAATAAATGCCGACTTGGATCTTGAGAAAACAAGTCAAGCAAAAGAGCGCAATCATACGCATTTGAGAAAGTCCTACGAAACCCTCAATATGTAGTGAACGGAGACGATAATTCATACTGGACCTCGAAGGAAGTGGGTATGGCACTAATTTCAATCACCAGCTTGGATAACCTCGTCAAAGAGAGCGGCCTCTCGTGCACATTCACCTACATATCTTGGGCTAAGGTGATATCTCTGCCATCGCCGCCTGCCTCATGGAGACCCCTAAGATGGGAACTTCTCTGCAAGATTTCGCGTCTACTAATTGTTGAGAGATATCTGGCAACTTGGGGGAGAGCAGAGGGTTACGATCAGCATGAGCCTATATGGGAATTCAAGACTTATGGACAGATGACCATAGCTACAGCAGCCCAAGATGGGACCTCAAACTAGGGATCTAATAAGCCGGATGTAACACATCAAGCAAAGAGACTTCGAATCATGAAGAAGCTTGGTGTTTTACATAGAGTAGATATTTGAGAGAGATAGTAGACTGTGTCCATACAATACGCAATATAATATAATATCATAATAGTATAAAGATCATACTATCGGATCATACATTTCCTTGACTTTTCTCTGCGGAAAGAGAGGTCTTGAAACTACCTTCTCATATAATAAATGGTTACAATATTTCCACTAAAGAAATACACACTAAAACTACAGGTATGGAGCTATCCAGAATCCGTCACATAGCATGAACATCTCACACAAATTCAATAAAATCCACACGACACAAAACCAACACACCAAAACCAATAATTCATTTCCATTTCCATTTTCTTTTTCATTCATATACAAATACACGCAGTGCAGTACTATCACTCTTATCCAGTGACGTCATATTTCGCTGGTATCAGAAAGACAGAAAGAAAGAGAGACAGTAAAGCTTGAAACATCCTCAGTAAGAGCCTATTTGGTTCAACTTTCACAGTCCCAAAAAAACGCCGAGACGCTCCTCCTAGACATATTCCACCATTCTATGACAGATGAACTTGTGAGAAAAGAAAGACTACTAAGCTCCTCCAATTGAAGTCTTTCTGCTTGGTAGTTTTCGAATAGTGCATGCCTTGCCATGCCATTCCCATACTCCCATGTGAAGCCAAGCCGGAAAAACAATCAAATGAAGATATTGATCGATCCAATTCAATTGAACGCCAATCATCAATATCAATAACACCATCAATTCCGATCAAAATGCTTTTCCACCAACCCCCTCACCAGCCAAAATCCTCAAGTGACTTTCACTCAACTCGCTTTTCAAGCCCATACTCGCACTCTCCCGACTCAATCTATCCCAATGCTTCAATCCTTTCCTCAGTTTTTCTTGTTTCTGTTTAACTTCCTCTCGCAGAATATCCGCTTCCTCTTCCTTCTTCTTGAGACGAGCTGCGAGATCAGTGGGGATACCCGAAGCTGCTGGATCAATTCTTCCCCCAGGTATGATGGGTGGAATGCCTACCATAGCTGGGTGAATACGAGGACCCGATGATGGACCCGAAATAGAACCGCGGCTATGATATATACTGGAGGAATGTTGAAGAGAGGGCCGGGATGAAACTGAAGTGCCTGCGCGGGGACCTGTGGGTATACCGGAAGGGCCTGTTGGTACAGCAGGTGGAGTTTCTCTTGCTGGAGAAGGAGAGACACTTGGTGGAGGACGGGGTGGTGGCAGATTTGTTCTTGAGTTTAAATCTGTGTTGGGTCGAGCTGGTGGTGCTGCTCCCCACGATGAGGTATCTGGACGACTGTGGCGCTCGTTGCTAAATGATGGCCGACCACCTCTTAATGAAGCGGAAGGACCACGAGGTGGAGCGTAACCACGTGGACCAGATGGAGGAGCGATGTGACCATTACCTTCTGAAGCACTATTAGATCTCGAATTGTAGGTTGAAGAAGGGCCAGATGGAATGGGCGCAGCGAAGTTGCGACCGCCACTAGGTCCAGTTGGAGCTCGAAAAGTCGCCGCTGGTCCTCTAGGAGGCGATCTTGGAGCTGTGGGACGAATTGGCGAGCGATCCTTCGAAGCAGATCTCTCCTGCTTTCCTTGTCTGTATGCCAACCCTGAAGGCGATCGATCTCTGACAGTTGCCGGGGAACGTATTGCTTCACGAGTCGCTGCTTGCGTTAAAGCTTGTCTGCTAGGGTGAACAGGTGGAGAAGATCGACGAGAATTTGTGCCAGAACTTCTACCTGATGATCTTTCCGAATCACGAAGTGCTGGTGAAGGAGATCGACGCCTGATTGGGGATGGTGATCTTCGGCGGATAGGTGAAGGTGAACGACGTCGCCACGTTTGCGAACTTGGACCAAGGGGAGTGCGAATATCTCTGGGGTCGCGACTGCGAGAGCGACGCCAAGAACCACCCCGCGGGCCTGGTGGCGGTGACCTTCGGGGAAGAGGAGATCTAGCTCTGATGGGCGATCTAGGTCGAAGAGGCGTGCGATTGCGATCGAAAGGTGACCTTGAACGGCGCCTGAAGATTGTTAGATTTGAAAAATTTAGAATTGACGTAATATTGACGATATTAAAACTTTACCTTTCATCTCTTCTTGGTGACCTCAATCGATCTCTGCGGTCATCATCTCTCCTGGGAGAAAATCTTCGTGGAGTTCTGGCTCTTATTGGAGTTCGACCTCCTCGAAGTGGAGATCGGGGTCTGCCACGCCAAGTCATATCTCGAGGTGGTGATCGGTCTCTTGAGCGATATGGTGGTGTCCTTGACCTACGTCTTGGAGAACGATCTCGTGCGCTAGGGTGATAACTGTCGCTGGATAAAGGTGGAGTTCGTCGATCTCTGCGAGGTGACCTATCTCTGTCGCGATCGGATCTGAAAGTGTCGGCTCGCGGTGGTGAACGTCGGTTATGATTAGGTCTATAAGATTCACCCGCTCCCAACCTTGTGACTTCGCCATCACCTCGGATATCCAATCTGCGATTTTTATTGGTTAGTACTTCCTTTCTATTATTCGATAAAGATCCCGCATTCTTCGGCCTTAGAGCAGCCTCGAAGTTCCAATCAACCCTAATCGTGAGGCTCTCAATATGCGACAAGTCGATTTCCTCTTCAGTTCTGACCGGTATGTATGTTGCATCGTTAGGATTTTCGATTTTGACCATTGATTGATTATAGCTTGAACCAACACTATTTTCGCTGCTATCCATGAGAGGTTTTAGATCACTAGTCTGCGAGACCGCTCCATTACTCGAGCTTCTATGGGTTCCAAAACGAGCACGAAGCTGGGTGTCATACCAAGCCAAAGGACGAGTACGAGCCGCTCGACCACGCAAAACTCCAACTACAGCCTCAGACGATATGATATATTTTCCTGTTCGCGCACGACTGATGAAATAATCTTCTCGTAATTGCTTCTCCCTAGAGCATTTCTTGCTTTCTGGAAACCCTTTACCGTTGAAGTGCTTTCTACAGGCGCAAATGTGGAAATCGGCAGCGCCATGTGACCATGAACAATATTCGCGGGTTCTTTGAGCAAAGCAGTTGTGTGCGAATTGTATACTACTATTCATCCAATTCCATATAGCTTCTGGGTATTCTTGCAGGTGGTCTTCTGCGGCCATTCAAACAACGGTAGCTTTTGACCAATCTGCAAATAACGTCTGCTGCGTGTTTGCTCTTGGAAGTTGTGGATTTTGTATTGATATTGCAAGTTCCTTTAATGTTTATGGTGACCCGGCAATGATATGTGCATTCAATGTCGATATGCCGTGTTGCTATCCGGATACTATATACATGTGAATGAAGTAAATAAGAACTAACCTTCTGTCTCGTCCTCTATCCATCCTAGGCTCCTTGTAATATGTCCCAAGAATATCCGTTCAAACTTTCCTCAGATGAGTTAAAATATGCTACAAGTTTTGGTACTATATCGTCTCAAATCGTTGTTGCGTCATGTAAATATTTGAACATAAAATGGCGTAGAGTGAATTAAGATGTGATGAATTATGTCGTAGTTTCCAAAGCTCCAAAAACAATTTCCAAGCTGTTGACAGTGCACTAGCGGCCGCTTTATTCCGAGCACGTTTATATCACGTGTAGGCGAGAGGATTGAACAAGATATTGGTTTTTTGCAGTCTTGTGTCGAGATCTACTATTATACAATTGAATGCCAGGAGCAATGAGTACGAAGAGTATCAATCTCAAAATTTATCTCACACACATTTCCATTGCCTTCCCAGTATTCCGATATTACATACGAAAAGCACCAGTAGTGCCTTTGCCAACCTCCATTCAACGCCGCATTAACATCTTTCCCATCTTAAAATCTGTAGGACCTTTCTCTCTTCTCGCCTCGTCTTTCTTCGTCTCTCTTTTGCTTCTTCCTACTCTCTTGGGCAATCATATCACTTAAATCTTCATCATATTGCCAAGCTCCTCGTTCCTCTTTCTTTTGAGCCTCAAACCTTCGTTTTACTTCTTCCTTGCTTATACCATCCTCATTTTGCAAAGAATCTGGATCCAACGCAACATCTACATCTCCTGGCTTCTTCCTCTTTTTGGTATCTTCTTGTCCTAATACTGGTAAATGTGCATTTTGACCAGCGCGTACATCATAAGCTCTTTCGCCACCAAAGAAGCCTTCAGCGCGGATCTGGCGTTCGGGGATGACAGTATAAGCAGATCTTGGGTGTGTGGACTCTTCAGTCTCGGTTCCCCTCTTTTGCTTACGAAGATCAAAGTCTCCACCAACACTCATCTCACCAGGGTATTCCGATGGTACAGTTGATGCCATACCACCTGGTGTTTCTGTACCACTAGGTGTTTGCAAACCACCAACGTCCTCCTCATCACCTTCCTCTTCTTCCTCGTCGCTCTCTTCTTCTTCCTCAGACTCCTCTTCAGGTGCTTGCAACTCACCCCACAGTGTTCTCTCAATAGGTTCACCTGCTTGGTTGTTAACTTGTGGTTGAAGGACACCAAAGATATCTCCTCCATAAAGGGGTCGATTGAACTCATCAACAGGGGGTTTTCCATAACCACCAGGATGGAATCCCCATGCGCCACCTGGTGGAGGTGGTGCATTTAGCCCGGGAATCTTAAGTGAAGGATATGAAGGCGGTGGGCCGAAGCGTTGTTGGTTGATTAACCATGGAGGCGGAGCTCCAGGTGGAATATTTAATGCGTCTTTGAGGTCGTCGCTCAACTCGCCAGGTCGCAAATGTCGTAGATTCGTCTCGTACTCCTTTCCCTCGTAGTAAACCTCACCATAACGTGTTAGTTCCGGCTTTGTTTGAAACCGGAAGAAAGCTTCATACAACTTTTGATAATCAATATCCAATTTCCCCATCTTTGGTTGCACCCTTTCCCTTTGCTTCTGTTTTAAACTAGCTCCATCCTGTTTTTCCAACACAGCATCACGCATTTCGGCGATACCAGTCTCTTGAATAAACTTCGGAAGAGAAAATGGAGCCTTTTCAACACCGCGTTTCGATGATAAATACTCGCGCTTAAGGGACCAATGATTCGGCACTGGGACGACATTTCGGTATGATTTGATGTGGACAAGTAATCGAGGATCCGAAGCTGAGGTATCTGTCCAATCTACAAGCTCTGGCTTCCTTACGAGAGCTTTCAGTTCTGCAACAGAAAGCTTGTCTCTCTCCTTCCTCTTCTTCTTGGATAACTTGGGCTCTTTGTCTGCTTCTTCGTCCTCGTCTGGAATTTCGTCATCACCATCGAAAAACACTTCGCCCTTGTCGCCATTGTCTACATCTTTCGCAGCCTGATCTTCTTCAGCAGTAGCACCAAATCTGTCCATAATATTCTTGAACATGGCAAAATTTGGATCATCTTCAGATATATTGAAGCCTGCAATATCTGCTTCCAAAGGATCTTCATCGTTTTTGGCTTGTTCTTCGTCGTTCTTGATCGGTTTCTCAGTGATTTCGGCAGGCTCATTTGCGTCGACTTTTGGTTCTGAAGCTTTTGGAACATCTGCTTCTGGTGTTGGGGTCGCCTAGAGATCGTTAATGGCTGTAGTCATCAAGAGATTACTTAGACCAACCTGTGCTGCTTTCTTCTGCTCCTTCTTCTTTGCGCGCCGCATTTGATTCTTGGTCATTTTCGGCGCCATCTTTGCGACCTGGGGGGCCACAAGCCCAATTAACAAAATTGTGACTTGAATTCGTAAAAAGGTCTCTTCTTCGAGATTCGTGTCAATATATCTGGTGTTCGAATTTCATATGATAGCTCTGTGATTAAATAATTTGTCAAGAAGAGATAAACTTAGAGTTTGTCGCGATGCTTGATGTAGGTATTATCGAAGAGAGTCAATATCAAATCGCGATTATTTTAGCGTCGGTAAATCCCGTCAGGAATTACGAAATCTAGAGCCGTTGCTAATGAAGCTAATTAAGTAACGACTTTTAGTCCTACGAGTACGGCATCGTCATTATTGGTTGATACAATTGAATTGAATGCTCTCATGTCAACGTTACAAACAATCTGAAACTACAATCAATACCTTCCCCGCGCAATGAATATTTCGGATGATAATTCCAACTTATAAACATATATTCGACAATGCCTCATTCGACTCGAGGTCCTTCGCCTGGTCGAATTGCACAAACGAGCTTCAAATTTCCTGGTGATACGAAGGCCAGCTCGCGCACATCCATGGAGAAGTTTCCAGATCTCGATACTTCTGATACCTTCGATCAATACGATGGACAACATTCTTATAACTCACGAAAGTCCAATGGATATCCCAGTGGTGGCCCTCCTCCAGTGGATCGTTGGCAGGCACAAAGAAATGGCAGGATGAGAGGAGATTCTTGGACGAACGGAGAATCGAATAATGGCAGAGGGCATAGAAAACAAAAGAGTTTGAGTGATGCATTTAAGACAATTAAGTCGAGAAAGGGGAGTATGAGTGCCAATGTACATGAAATCTCAGATGCCCTAAAGGCTCCAGTCTCTCCTAAATTAATTGTTTGTAGACACCTCCCACATAGAGTTGCCAAACACTGATTGAATTTGTCCAGGTCTTATGTATAGTATGGTATCTTTCAAGCGCCTTGACTAACACATCTTCGAAATCGATTCTAAATGCTTTCCCGAAACCTGCGACTCTTACTCTCATACAATTTGCATTTGTCGCATTCTATTGTCTATTTTTCTCTTGGCTTTCCGCGACTTTTCCACAACTCAAAAATGCAATTCCAGCTTTACGACATGGAATTCGATATCCTACAAGAGAAGTCATTATGACCACATTACCTCTAGCTGCTTTCCAAATCGGTGGTCATCTTCTATCTTCCACGGCGACAGCTAAAATCCCGGTCTCACTGGTTCACACAATCAAAGGGCTTTCCCCCTTATTCACAGTGGTCGCATATCGACTCATATATAATATTCGTTACCCAGTGGCTACATATCTCTCTCTCGTCCCTCTTACACTCGGCGTCATGCTCGCCTGTTCCGCAGAATTTAGGGGAAATATATTTGGTATAATCTACGCTTTCCTCGCAGCCATAATATTTGTCACTCAAAATATATTCTCCAAAAGGCTCTTCAATGAAGCCGCAATCGCAGAAGCAGCAGGTCAACCACGTACCAATAAATTAGATAAGCTCAATCTTCTCTGCTACTCATCGGGTCTCGCTTTTCTTGTTACATCACCTATCTGGTTCTGGTCAGAGGGTATTACTCTCTTGGGTGATTTCTTTCATGATGGATCTCTTGATTTGAGTTCCCATCCCGAAGCCTTCGACCACGGACGTCTAGCACTCGAATTTGTCTTCAACGGGACATTCCACTTTGGTCAAAACATCATCGCATTCGTTCTCCTTAGCATGGTTTCTCCCGTCACCTATTCTGTTGCCTCTCTCATAAAACGTGTCTTCGTCGTTGTAATCGCTATAATCTGGTTCCAAAACCCTACAACCAAGATTCAAGGTCTGGGCATTGCCCTCACATTCTTCGGCCTTTATCTCTACGACCGTACCAAGGGTTCCAACAAAGCAGACCGCAAAGCCAAAATGTTAAACATTAAAGAAGAATCTCTTCTTCCTCTAAACACAACCTCCGGTAGACTCACCCCGGACACTCAAGCCCAAGTCCTCTTTGAATCCCCAATACAAGCACGAGGTGGTGGCTACTCGTTACAGTCTGGAAACTCAGATAACAAGAGATCAGATGATAATTCATTTGACAGAAACGGGAGGTTGAGGGGTAGCAGTAATGCTTCCTGGTTACCGCCTGGAACCAAACAGGAGGATACTTGGAAACCAAGAGAGATTATTGCGAATGGACCTGGGAACGGGAATGGGAGTGGTATTTCTGTTAACTAAAGTGCTTGTCATTTGGAGTTTCATAGATAGAGGAGATGGATTTTGATTTTGATTTTGATCCTGGTTTTTGATTTTTCGGTCATTTTTCTATGCTATTCTAGATTCTAGTTGGGTCCTTTACTTGCTAGATAGGTACCTACCTACCTACCAGGTACTTATGATATCAACGAAAATGCGCATGCGCAAGCAAGCAAAGCACTGTCGGGTACACATAGATAGATACCCCATCTGAGCTGAGGTACGCACGAAATTCACATGAATGGGGGGAGTAATGGATCGGCGTTAGGACAATAATAGCACATCTTGAATATGGTAATATGGTTTCTAGAGTCGCATTGATTCATTCTGTCGATTACTTACTAGGTATGTATTGATAGATTGGGTTTTGGGTTTGGCGTTTTAAGTTTTTATGTAGGCGGTTTAAGAGAGAGTAGAAGGGGATGGGATGGGAGATTTATATAGTTGTTGAATAATTGATATCTATTGCAGATGCTGCAGATGCGATACTTTGTAATGTAATGTATATGTGCAGGTGTAGGTGTAGGTGTCGGTTAGAAGAATAGATCTTCAGTTCTTGATTAAACTTGATCTTGGTCTGAAGTTCGAAAGGGTCTTGGAACTTGAAGCTGAAATTAGCGAGGGTATACACGAGCGGTATCCATGAAGACATTTTTACGTTGGTGTTAAGTCTAGCGAGGGCAAGTTTGAGATTGGATCCCGAGTGAGCTCTAGAATTCTCCTTGAAATATTATACTTCAATATTAATCTTTTCTCAATGTGATTACTTGACTACTGCAGCAATCTCACCCAGCAATATAGTCACATCACAACACACTCTACAGGTCACTATACCAGACCCTACATACTCCAAGCCATCATCAATACATTCAAAGCCAAATTATATTTATACAGCCATTCCTTACATTCCTACTATAATACAACGCGGAAGAAAAGTTAGCAACCTAGTATGTAATCATGATTCGTATGTGTATCCGCGTTCAACAGTACTCCGCAAAGAAGCTATCCGATCCCTCAACAATTCATAGAGTTGTGATATCCATCCCTTCCCATGCCATCCTATTCGTGTGTTCATAATTCGTAGCGCCCTGTCCATCCATCCATCCATCAAATGCAAATGAGTCTAGCCCAAACCTTCCCTGCCATATCCTGCCTGTTATTTATGCACTCATAATACATGTGTCCCCTCTGTTGACTCCGTTGACTCCCCTTGCTTCCCCTCTAATCATAATCAGCAGATTTAAAAAAAAAAAATTGCAAATCATACTCCAATCTCCCTTGCGCCTCAGACTTCAATCACCAAGCTACTCCCTCCTCCACAAACCCATCGTCACCATCCCAGTCATCATCACCTTCAGGCTCACTGTCTAGAAAGTCCGCCTCGCCGAATTGCGTCTCCGCCGGTCTTAAATTATCAATTCTGACATTAACCACCTCACACATTCCTTGGATTACATTTTGCTTTTGTTTCGCCTTTACCTTGCTCTTACTATTTGCATTCCGATTCATATCCTTACTCTCACCTCCACCATCAATATCCTCATCACTTACATCTGTATCTCCATCTTCTTCCAAACACGGAGTCTGAGGTGGTGAAGAAGGAAATCCATCAATCCCCGCAGTAATTTTCAGCAAACGAATTTCCCGAGAAGCACGCTGACTTCGGGCAGCCTGGCGAGCTGAAGGAATTGATGCAGATGGAGGGGGAGGGGTGGATGCTGCACCATCATCATCTTCTCCTTCTTCATCTTCTTCGTTGTCAATTTCATCATTAGAATTATCAGGACTTTCAGCATAGTTGGTTGTACGTTTGGCGCGTGTGCTGTGACGGCGTGGAAGAGAGTTTTTCTTTGGTCGAGCTTTTTGCTTCCTTGCAGGACTTTGGCTTTTATCGGTATCTTGGGTATCTGTTTCCGATTTGTAAAGTTCGACACTTGGTAATTGCGAAGCTTTCAAAAAATGCTTTGGAGGATCGCAAACCCTCTTAAAGACTTGTCCCAGAGTGCCGATCCATTTATCTCTAAAAGCAGCCCTATCTCTCCATGCAATGTTAATACTTGTCTGCAGAATCAAAATCCGGAGATCCGAAAGCTCGCCAGCACTATCCAACAAACTTTGAAAGAACATTTCCGCGGCTTGTTTGTCCCATTTGCGTAAATTAAGAAGCTCAAGGGATTGGAGTGTGGTTGGCCATTCAGGAATTTGATCACTCGTGAGTAACTGATCATAATCCGGCTCGGCGCTGTGATATGAGATATGTGCATCGAAATATTGAAGGTCCATTCTTAAAACTTCCAGATGTGGACATACTGCAGCAAGTGATGGCAGAAAGGCTAGACTTAAGGCAGAGTTATGGTTGAGCGTGAGACAGCGAAGTTGTCTGCCACTAGTCAGGAGATACTCGCCAAGCATTTCAGCAGTGACCTCCCAGCAATTAGTAATTTCCAGATTTCGCAAATTTGATGGTAGGAGGGGCATCAATTTGGCATTAAGTAGCGTTGATGATTCAAAAATCAAGTGTTCCAGTGCCTCCAGGGCGGAAATCGCTCCACCCAATAATTCCTCAAGTTTTGGATCCTCTTCGCCTTTTTTAGGGTGTCGAATTTGGTAATTGACAAACGCAACCTTCTTTAGTCCAATGAAACATGGCTTGAGATGAATCTCGCGAATCTTTTCTATGGGCCACTTCTTACCTGCTAGTCTGGACGACCAACGCCAGCTTCTTAGTTTGCACAGGCTGGTTTTGTCTCCCTTGGTAGTATCTGCAGCTGGTTCAACGTGCTCTAGTGCTTCAAAGACCGCAACTGGGTACTCCCATCTAATCGAATCATCAAGTTGTTTGAAAGGCTTCGAATCTTTCTGATCGTAAAATTCTAGATCCGCCAATCTTGGCAAGTCCTTTATTAAGCCATGCAAGTCCAGAAGTCCACTGCCAGGTAAAGAATAGGCAGCAACTTGCCTAACTTCAATACGAAGGTTGACAACTTTCTGTCTGTAGCCAAAAGCCAACATTGCAGGGTCGGATTTGAGTAAATCTACGAGTCTAGTCATACGATCAGCTAGGAGGCTTTCGTCTGGAATTTCAAAGTTACTTACCGATGTGCTTTATCCATTGGAACAAGAGGAGGCGAATTGTACAACACTGTGAAGGCTGGCTCGGCGAACCCCCGACAGAGGTATGCGACATCTAGTAGCCATCTCCCAGATGGAAGAGGTTGAAAGGTTCTTTCTTCGTACAGTGGATATGTGGCGTACTCGAATATCTGCACTAGGATATGATATGGAAGAGTCTGCCAGGGTGGAATGGCTTCAAGATTTTCCACGAGCATAGCTGGTGATTGGACTTTAGATCTTCTACGAGAGGTTGATTGATTTTGTTTTCTTCTCTTCGGCGTTGATTCATGAGAATTGCATTGGCTTCGCTTGGTAGAAGAACGAGAGTGGGAAGCATTTCGAGAGAGTCTTGCGCGGGGCGTGTGAGTTGCGCTAGTATAGGATGGTTCGTTATCGTCGCTATCGTCATCCTCGTCGTCCTCGTCCTCCTCCTCTGAATCATGATCAGTCGATGATTCTGCGTATGAAATTATCGGCTTTTGTCGAGTGCTTTTCGTAATAGCTACTTGTGGTTGATTATTCGCAGACCGTGGTTCCCGCACATTCCGGGTGCGTGCCCGAGAGCGTCTCGTAGGTGGCGCATGAGAGATATCACTATGTGATTGTTCATCGACATCGCCATTTTCTTCCTCTTCTAGATCGTCGTCGCTGGTCGGAGGTTCTGCGTATGAAAAGGTAGGATTTCCTCTGGTAGATCGAGGTGGAGTCCGCAGAGCTCGAATAGATATCGAAGATCTAGCCATGCCTATAAAACTTAGTTGTTTGCTGGTTGGAACTCATGAAGGTGATGTTATGAGTTAAAGAAGCTGAAATAGACGATTGCAAAGACAGTATATCTTTGTGCGGCAGCAGTATGATTCTTTGCTAGTGAGATCTAAATGCAACCATGCATGGTCAGAAGCTGAAGAATTGTGAGGGTTTTGATAATAAATGAACGCCTGGGCAAGTATTGAATGGAAGAGCTTTCTTTACTTTGTTCAAACAATGAGATGATTCTCTCTCTTGGGTATTCTATGATGTTGATCTTCTTACCTGTAGACAAGATGACACTAGTCGCGATATCGGTTAAGCCGATAAGAAATTTAAGGTTGCAGCTGAGAGCTCACAGTCCCTGCACTGACCTCGGTAACTCCTTCCTTAGGGAGACGTGCATCTCATGCTGCAAGAGATAGTCAAATACTGATAAATGGTTCGATGGATGCTGGAACAGGAGCCATGGAGCCATTATTCGGCTGGATTGAAGATGTGCATGTGGATTTGTAAACCCAGAGTGTCACCTATTAGATGCGGGTATCCGTCAGATCCAGGAAAGAACGAGAGCCTCAGATGCATTTAGACATATTGATTCAAAATATCGACGCGACAACACAAGTGACACCCCCCAAAAAATATGTATCAATACAACCAAATAAATAATTCGACCTCTTCTACCATCTTGAGCTCACTGTAATAAATACCTCTCACTACTTCTGACTCAACCTCATACAATCTTCATACCATTTCTTTCGATTGATAGCATACTCAGGTACCACAACCACACGCTCTTTACCCACAAGGCTGTTTGTCATATTTTTCCTGTTGAATCGCGTAACACTCCTTCCTGTCTGTAAGGGGTTTCGAGTTACCCTTACAAAAACACGGCATTACGCGTGCGATATTTCCAAAAAAGCTTCACTGTTTTGATACTCTGGGGATACCCAAGTACATACCTCCCTACCTAGGAAGTACTCAACTCGTAACTACAAATCTCGCGAGTTCATCGTTGGCTGTTCTGCTGGACCCCCTGCCGGTTAGAATTTGGCATTCACTTCGTCTCACCATTTCTTCTTTCTTTTGAAAGGCGCGTAGTGGCCAGTGAAAGGTTGAACGATAATGAAATGTCACCAGCAGGCATCAATGGAGGAGGAATCGGGATTGAAAATTGGTTATCAAATCATCGTCAACCTTTCCGCCCCTTCTTACGAGGCAACCTCGAAAAGGCTATAAGATACCGAGAGAGATTCATGATGGGTTCCTCATATTCATCTCTCAAGATTATCACACCGCCTCAAAAACACGAACGTGAAATTTTGGCATCTGATGAGGAAGACGACGAGGATGAAGATATAAGGCCTATCAAAAGAAGAAAGACGACCAATACCGATTTAGCTCCAGTTTCGACACATGATTCTTCAAGTCGATCCATGTCTTCAACTTCTACTGTTGCTTCAACAATGGAGCCGTCTTCACTCAATCGTTCTACGACTGAAGAATCTCCACCACCACGTTTACCTAGTAAATCTCAGGTAAACAAGATCAAGCCCACAGATTTTTACGGTCTCAAAAAATCAAGATCCGATCGAGCTCGTATTGACTCCGTATTGAAATTAACCAAAACCCCCGTGGACTTCCGGAAGTTGCTACGAATCCAGGTTGCCAGTATCATCCAAAACTCAAGTTTGGAAGACACTGACGATGGGAACACGAGTCAATACTCTAATATAAAGTGTACTCTAGTTTTGCTCCGTATTTCGGAAGATGGGTCATCTACAGATATCTATCGACAACCTCAGACTGGGAGGATTCGAATGACCTCTGAAGGTCGTCAAAATGATACTTTTCCCGTATACTTACCACCCTTTATAATACCCTCGGAGGTCCTCTCTCAAGATCCAAACTCTGATGATTCATTTGATCAACTAAAAGCTCCAAATGAACTTGGGAAATTTGGAGTTCAATTTATAATCGAGCCATTCCGCGCCAATCGAAGAGACTGGCTGCCCTTGACATTTTCCAGTCTCTCACATAACAGTCGCCTCGCAAAAAGAATATTCAAAGGAGAATCAGAACTTACTAATGTACGTCAAATGAGATGCGAGTTTCAGCTATTTGATTGGGATAGCAAGCGAAGTACAGCAGATATTGAGCTACTGTATGATGGAGAGATTATTGAAACTTCTGCATCATTGAATTTAAACATACAATGGTCGCTCCCAAGTCATCTACATAAGAAAGAAGCACATATCGAAGTACCAAAACTGCCGACGCCGGTTCCAGAGTTAGCTCCCGAGTTAAGTCTTGCTCAAATTTTGTCTCCGCAAAAGGCAACAACAACAACAGATCCCGAGAGCCCCTCTCGTGGTCAAAGACGTGTTCGTGCAAATGTCCCAACATATAATCTCAAAGCTTTGAGTGCGAAAGCTCAGGGCAAGAAATTAAGGGCTCATTGGGCTAGAGAAACTTCGGAAACTCCTTTCACTGGGACTGATACTGGAGAATCTGTGACTTATACGGTCAGCAAAGCGAATGCGGAAGCATATAATATCAAACAAATGCATGTAGTGGCAGGATTATCGTGCCCCATATGCAATCTAGACACTAAATCTATGGAAAGTCTTCGACTCCATTTTAAAACCACACATTTCCGATTTACATTTCACGTTCGCCCCAAGTCGTCGTTCTTCATCGAAATCAACAAAGACTTCCAAAAGTCTAGGGAGATTCACCCTTTGCAAAATATCCAGTTTGGGCAAGCCAGCACTTTGTTGGATATGGAGAAATATCTTTCTGGTGACAATTCTTGGGCGGAAGATAGGGAAGGACCTCTAAACAATCAATGGCCAGATTCAGAAATCCTTGCTCGTTTGAATTTCAAAACTACTTCATTTCCATCACCTGAATCCTCACGTCAATCCTCACCAGAAACGTCGAACAATGATCTCGAGACGAAGGAGGGTGAGGGTTCTACCCCGGTACCTGGTTGTATTAAACGCCTGGCTCTTCCACCCACCAGAACCAAGGATAAGCACTACGTTCCTGATATTAAACACGGTCCATATCCTAGATCTGCATATGCCCCTGAGGTTCAAGACCGAGAATTCAATGATTACCGCACGAGGCGGGTTCTGAAACCTGGAGATGAGTTACCCGATACTGATGATGAGAATGACGAATCTTACCTTCTCCATAAACGAAAATGGATTATCAACGATTACACGGATGTTCAAGATGACGAAAAGGAGTACTTTATTAAGTGGGAAGAGTTCATCATGGCCGAGCGGCTCACTAATCAATCTCATCTTCCGGAAACAATCACAAGATTTGTAGCGAGAAATCGCGTTTGGTTTGCTGAGAAGAAGGCTCGAAAGAAAGAATGGCGCAAGCAGATTGAATTGTGGGTAGCAAGAGGTGATCTCAAAGTTGGTTCACTTATGTCTTATTGTGAAAAGATGTTTGAACAGGGAAAGAAGGAATTAAAGGAGATGAACTCAAAATCGAATTCGGAATCAAAGTCAACTTCGGACGCGGAGCCCGCAGAGGTAGAGCCTATGATGAGAGGTCCTCATGATTGCGTCTGTGGTCATCAAGTTTCAGTATGGCAAAGTAATGCTATACAATGTAGTGGCCGAGTAAGTTTATTTATCATATGTTTGCTCTAGGTGTACCGGACTAATTACCATAAAGCTTTGTGTTGATGGGGACTACCATCGGGAGTGTGCTGAGAAATCTGGACGCCCAGTCGAGAGAGGCAATTGGTTGTGTGATCGATGTCATGCAAAAGCATCGGGACAACAACCGCTAGGGGAGAGTAGTAATGCACTTACGAACTATTCCCAGAATCGGATTTTACAACAGAGGCGAAATGTGTAGGTAGCTAGCATTAGAAAGGGGGGAGTGGAAGCAAAAAGAGGAAGTGAGAGGATCTTCCAGGAAATAGAGGATACTTAATCAAATACCAAAATGTAGATAATTACCACAAAAATATACTGTATATATTTCAAGCTGCCACCTAGAAGAATGTCGTTGTATATAATGATGCATTTTATATACTAGGTAGGTACTTCCCAATTTCCTTACTCTTGGATAGTTGAGTATATGAAGTGAGTTGATCCTGATATTGATGATTTGATACCCTTTTCCTACGTAAATTACTCACTCGTTACTTGTTCCATATATATACTTTAAAGTGTTTTACCGATTGTTAAACAACCTGCCTGCCCTTTACCTAGGTGAGTATGTAGTGTTACACATCCAGAGAACAGTTGCATCACAATCACATGAGTAATAAATTCTCTTCCGTGCTATCTACTTCGTCGCGTTGTCTCGGCTTGAGGGAGTAGTGATGGGCTGGGGGATTAATGGGGGGGAGGGGTATGTTCATGATGGGTTTTTACTTTGAAGAAGGGTTAGGGTTGGGTTTTGGGGTTGAGATGGTCGATGATGTAGAGGGGGGAGAATGAATTGTTATACGTATGATACATACCTAGATATACTAGATATGTAGGTACAGTCAACTTTGATTCACATGATATGTTATTATGTTTGAATGTTATATCACGTTCACTTCTATATTGACTCTATATTTGTCTCTGTGATATGCTTGTCGGTATCTGGTAGTTACTAGTTAGCTATCATTCATATATGACTGACATGTGAACGATATAACTAGATCTATTATCTAACATAACATTCGAGATTGTTACGGATGTCCGTAACTTTATTTCTAAAGAGAGACTACCTACCAGGGAGATATACATACCGACACAGGTATCTAGGTAGTATTCTGTATATGGATTAGATAATAACTAAATCCAGATATAAACATTTGGGGAATGAAATGAATATTATAATAGATGGTAATTGACCACAATGAGATGATTTGCATCTCCATCTCCATCTCCATCTCCATCTCACCTTATTCATTCCGATTAAAAAGTGGGTGAGTATTATGTAGTAAAAGTCTAATATTCCTAGACTACTACTAGACCAGACTACCTCACTCTTAACCCAAACTCTCCCAAACCACCCAGAGAGCAAGGACCCCCCAAAAAAAGAAAGCCCCGACCAAACATTTCCACCACGACAATCATCAAACAACCACCACAACTCCTCGTAACCTTACCCCCGTACTGCAAATCATCCATCCATACACAATTACATACTACATACTACATACTACATACTACATACTACATACTACATACACATACACATACACATACAACCAACCTACCTACCTACCTACCTCCGTCCTTATATTATACTTTCAATTATCCCTCGACAGACTTCACGAAATCGTTACGAAAAGGAGAAGGTCCTTTAATTGAAAGAGAGAGAATAATTGTTTGAATCGCGAAAAGATAAGGATCTCCTTCCACCTGGGATATAATTCAATTCAGCTTTCCCGCATAATTTCCACCTTGTCGCGACTCTATTGTGGTGCATATGGTATTGTTGCGACAATGATTAGGCCGTGATATTCACCAATAGCTACGAAACGTCACAATAGCAAAAAAATCATTCAACCCCTTCTATTGGCAAACTACCCTACCAAATAACTTCAACTTGCGCGCATATCTGACATTCGTTTTAATATTGGTATGTTTCCCATTTCACTTTCTTCAATGCATCCATCTTTGTTTTCGATGGAAGATACCACCAAAACATGTTCCCGCCACGAATGTCGTCCAGACACGGCGATCAGATAGTGAGGAAGAGATTTGATCCATTCGTGATTGCTGATATGCTTGCTACAGAGAGGATGGAAAAGAAGAAAGCCATGGAGGTCGCTTCGAGAAACACAGCTACCATCGGGGGATTGCAAAACCTCTTTCGTGATTTTGCCCAAGACGAACTCCCAGAAGTGAGCTCGCACATTCGAGGAATGTCTTACCACGTTTATTGACTGTTTGCAGATGCCGCACCTCTTGGAAATCATCGATGCCGACAAAGGAAGATGGAATTCGCGATCACACGAAGAACTCATAGGGATACCTTGGACCCTACCCAACGAACACTCGGAAGCTCGCAGGCTTCAATACATGACTGTTTTTTCTACGGGAGATCGCGACCTTCAAATTCCACGAGCTTTTGATCATGAAGATCCAGTCGAAAGTCCAACAAATAGTGCAGGCCGCAGTAGCTTGAATACTCCTCAAAGAGACCCAAACAAAAAGTTCTCCCTCGCAGCTTACCAAAAGATGAAGAAAGATGGAATCAAGCCTACCCCAAAAACAACTGATACCCCGGATTCAGTTCGTCCAAAAGGTCATGCAAGAACAGCAAGCAATATCTCCAATGCGACTCCGACGGCTCGCGGATCTTTTGAGAGTTCTTCAAATGGCGAAATACAAAGGAATGGGTCTGCGGTACACTCTGCGGGTAGATCAGAACACGTAGTCAAGAATGGCTTTGATAGGTATGTTTAATGATTGATATATTATGATTCTATTAGCAAACGCTAAGAACGTCATAGAAATCCCCCTTCCCGAAGCAACCCAACCAAACCACATCATCTCACCAATGGCACCAATGGCGTCAAACCTCTCACAGAACAAACAAAGGATATCTCGAGATCAAAGGAAATAAACGCACCACAAAACAAATCATCCGCAAAAATGAGCCCTTCAGTTCCTACATGGAATGCACCCATGAAGCACAGCTTACCTCCTCGTCCACAGTCTCCACGAAGAGTGGTTTCAGATGGCAGAAATAATAAACGATCACTTGAATCAGATGATCCATCACATGCAGAAAAGCGTGCCAGAACTGATCGAGCGAATTCGCATCTTCAAAAAATCGTTAAACCAGATATTAATTCATCCAAGGGAAAAGCCCCTCCTTCCAATTTGAGCAAGTCAGATGACCATGCATCTAAATCCTCCAAAGGAACAGGGGAGACGAAATCATATAAATCGTCAGGAAAACCTGTTAATCGTTTACCACCATTACTATCGCCACTCCCCGCCGATTTAACAACTCCTACCACGTTTGATAGCCCTAAGAAATCAGATCAAAAGGCATCCACGTCAAACACTCCATCAAAGTCCAAGACATCCGTCGGTGGAAAGAAACCTCCACCTAAAGAGTTATCATTGCAACAAGAATCACCAACAACTCCTCCAAGAACTGTATCACCCTTTGTACTTCCACCTCTACTTTCACCAACACTTCCTCCCATTGTCGAAGCAGCATTGGCGGAACATAAGCAAAAGGAGGGAGAAAAGACTACTTCTGCGCCCGAGAATCGTCAAGAAAAGTCGAATTCATTGACTGTTGAAGAACGTCATACTCAAGCTCGTAAGCCAGATGCACCTGGTGTTGCCCGTAAGACTGTTACTGGTGCCAAAGTCGGTCATCCTCCAAAAAGATCTGCCTCAAATACACCCTTACAAAAACCTCGTGAGGTTTCAAAAGCTCCAAATGCAAATCAATCATTAATTGTCAAGTTGCCTTATTCAAGGAGGAAAGCTACGACGATTGAACGATTGGTTAGATTATCACCAAGACCTTCGCCAAATTTTACGAAGCTTGAGAATATTAGAAAGAAGGAAGGCTTTGAAGCTATGATGGCATATGATCTTTCAAAGAAAGAGAAAGCTCCCGTTTTATCTGCCAATATTGTTATGGATCAATCAGTATCAGAATCTGAAGAGGATATACCTTTATCAACTCAAAGCAGAAAGACCATCTCTAGGAAACGCCCTAGTGATGTTCTACCTTCAAAAACTGAACCGCCAATAAAGCGGGCTAAACGTCCTGAGACTCTTGATGTTACGACTGCTAGAAAGACTGTCCCAAGTCCATTGAAATCTCCTACACGCCCTGGACCATCTCAAAAGGGTTTACTTGCTACACCCAAGAAGAATGAGGGCTCTAGGGGTACCGCTATGGCCAGAGTTTCTTCGAGTGATGGAAATCCTCAAACTCCTCAAGGCGCAAATATCACTGTAACAACTCCTCAGAGCATCTCTACGAGCAGGTCTGACCAACTCAAAACTTTGGCTTATAGTCTCAAGAAGAAAGGCGAACGTGAGACCAGAATTAATGGTAATCAACATCAACTTAAGCCTGTTGCTGAACGTACAGCTGGGGTTATAGTTGTAATTGAAAGTATCTGTCAGTACATGAGATATTTCAATAGACTTCCTTGTGCTAGTCCTAGGGAAACTAGTTACAGTCAAAGAAGTCAGAATGCTCAAAATTGGGACACAATTATTCCAATGCTTGCTTGGCTTAAGAATATCAGTGAGGATATTCCTGTTCTTCAAGTGTTATCTGCTCATCTTAATGCTGTTTGTCTTGAAGTATCAACTCGTGCTTTTATTAGCATGCCTACTTCACCAGGTAATACTGAAGATGATCGAGCAAAAGATCGTGGAATTTGGTCTAAACAACAATCACAAGATTTGAAAAGGCATGATGCATGGAGACAAAGTCATCATGTTGGATACAAACTTTTGAAAGATTTGTCCTTGAAGGGTGAACCTACAATTATTGGACCATGGACTAGTGTTGATACAATTACAGCATATTGTATGGAGGTTTGTACAGCATTCAACAAGAAGGATAAATGGGGTTGGAAAAAAGAAGTTGACTTTTAGTCAATTTTTATACTTCACGCTGATTATTCTACCTTGCTATGATTACTACGATTCAATCCTCTTTGTAGTAAAATCCGACGTTTCATGAATACGAAAATATAATTTCTCGAAATTGCTTCATTTTCTAACTTTACTTCATATTTTTTGTTGTTACACACTTTTTCTATAGGTATAATACCCAAAGCATTTCGGTAGGAATAGTATAGGATGGTCAGGTCATGGAAATTAGGATGGTGTAGGGGTGGGTGGAGATGGCGTTTGCGATAT